GAACACTTGACGATCTATGCTTCTTTAAAGATAACACTTAAGACAAAAAAAGGAAAGAAAAAAAACATACGACCTTAACGTAACTGAAATGTATTATCACCCTCTTTATACCACTCCCTACGTAGCGGAGAAGTAAGGACTCTCATTATTCTCTCCAGTCAATTTTAAAAAATCCTTGGTTGGGAATATATTATCAAATTGCATAAAAACTATAGCTAGTAGAAAGAAACCGATTGCAGATTTGAAATCGTCATCGCGGAAATACCCAATATCCGTTCATAAATCTCATGCAACAGAAAAATGTCTGCCCAGTGTAATTGTTTCTTTATGATTAAAATACTAAGAGCAAAGTTGCCGAAAGTGGTTCATATGTGGCATAAATTGTGAAGGAGTCAGAGTACTTACTCGGTATCCATAGAAGTTACTATTGTTCTACAATGTCCGCTCGCAAACATGCAAATATCAGCATTTTGAATTCCTGGGAATAAATGAAAATATTGCTCAGTATTAATCATCATGAACATGAACAGAAAATGCAAACATTTAACACGATATTGACTTATGTTTTGGAAAATCTATTAATATATAACCAGTATATAATTGGAAATTTAAATTATAAATTAGTAAAGATTTTTAGAATTGCTTGTTTGTTAGAATTAGTATAACCTCTTCTATTAGCATACAACAAAATTTTGACTATAATGCTAGCATGCTTCTAATTAAAATGCATGTTGAAATCTTCTCAGGAGCTAGGGTCCCACTTTTTTTGGTAATGATATGAACCACTAAAATCAAGCATAAGGTTTACTGGAAAGGAAAGTTCTTTCCGTGAAAGAACACTAATTTCCCAAGATGTTTCCGATCATGAGTTGCAATGCAATTCGAAATCCTTGTGATGTCTCCTACCTCCCCTGAAAGTTTGTCCCCAATAATCCTGAGACACCCTGTATGATTGATAGAAACCATTTGTGTATGAACTAAGACTCTACGGGGTGGCATGAGTCTGAAAAAATTTAAAAAGTGATAGCAAATGTTTTATGAGGTTATCGTAAATTTTATAGGCTTTAATTTCACGTCAATTTTAGAAATTCAGTTCGCCTTTTGTAATGCAGATATTTTACAAACATTTTTGGTCTGCCTATCCACTTCGTGCCAGGTGGCACATAAGATCTCAAGTATCTTTTTTCAGGCAACCCTGCTTTCAGCCAGCCCTCTTGCCTTCTCCCATCCATTTAGTTTTGCTTTACAAAGATCTTGGTGCATTTATTTTTGGCAAGTAAGTCTTGCCCTTCCTCTTTTACTTTTTTCCATCGGGTGCCAAAGTAAGTGCGATGTTAGTAGGACTTTCCTTTCATTCCCGTTTAGTGCTTTTCTACATTGAAACATGGAAACTAAAAATCATTCAGAGGACAACAGTTTCCACAAATAAATTGTAACGCTACAATCCCGAAATACTAAATGGGCTTGTATCATATCTAAATATTTTTATAACTCAAATAAAAAAAAAACTCATGTATAACAGAGATGCCAACTGCTCCGCACACGCTAAAATAATTAAAAAAAACGGTAAATAACTACAAAGTAAATTTTGCAAATATTTGACTATTTTTGCTTGCTTTTTAAAAGGTATAGCATGACATAAGTACTATAAAGTGGTGAATTGTATAAGCCTACGAATTATTTAGAAATAGGGTTGGATTAAAACCTATTAAATTGAATTTATTAAACCAAAATTCACAATTGATAAACTACCTATAATATATATTTTCTGTCTGGTGCAAGTTGGCATCTCTGTTATAATAGGGTTAATTTGGGTTTTGAAATTAAATTATGAGTGTGCATATTTTTTTCAAACTTTAAGTGGTAGTCATTGCCTGTAAAATTTCAACTTAGTGTAAGCCCACGCATGTCCAAGCACTTTTTTTTTAAATATATAATGGTAAATTTCCCTACTTACCATAGACTTTGATCCTTTTGACAGTTTTATTGGAATAATTCCTGACTGCGATATTCACATTGACAGGCTCTCCGTGAGCGAACACTTGACGATCCAAGGTGACTTCTAATTCCAGATGTCCTGGGCTTAGTAGAAAATCCTTCTTGATGACAGAGCATGGTTGACGGTTACCTATCAGCTGAGCTCTCTGTACCTTACGAATGGCCATCGATACTGAATTCCTAAATGGTTTGAGACGATAAAAGAAAAGTTATCACTTTTCAAGAAGAAATTTCTGTCTGGAAAACACTTTCAGACATACCAACTTTTTTCGATTTTTACCCGGAGATTTTTTGCAAATATTTGAAGTGGTAGCGGAATTTCTGTTTTAACCCCTTGGGGACGGGTGATTCAGAAAAGCATTCGTACAAAATCAGGATCGGGACGTAATTAAATAAAAAACGGTAACTTAAATGTAGTCGTTTCTAATTTGACAGACTTATTTTGCTTTTACTTTAATTATTGTTAGTTTAATCATACACTGGTGTGCGAAACTTAAGCAACAAGTGCGTTTTTTGTCATAACTCTACAAGAAATCATCCGATTGGCATGAAATTTGAATATGATGTACATTATTTTGTACTTAAACGATGGTAAAAGAATAATGGCGCAGAAATGAATATAAAGCTTAAAGTAGGGTATGGAACAAAAAAAGGCTTTATTTGACATATAGTGGCGTTACACATGATTGCCTGAAGAAGCGTAAGTACAACTGGCAGATGTTCCCTAGTATGGGATATGCCCTCCCCTTACTGTAATTGTTGCTTGGCATCGTCTCTCCATGCTAAGCACCAGATTATCCAGGAGTTCTTGGGGTAAACGTCTCCATTCCTCCTTTAACGCATCTTTCAGCTGATGGGTGTTACCAGGAGGATACTGTCGTGTCGCAAGACGTCTCCCTAATGCATCCCACACATGCTCTATGGGATTTAGATCTGGAGAGTAAGCTGGCCAATCCATTCGTGTGATATCTTCACTTTCCAGTAGCTCTTGAACATTAGCAGTACGGTGTGGCCGGGCATTGTCATCCATAAAAATGAAGTCTGGTCCAATGGCCCCTCGGAACAGACGCACATGGGGTAGGATTACCTCATTGCAGTAGCGGTCTCCAGTTACAGAACCTCGGTCGAAGATCTGAAGCTCAGTCCGCCCGTTCAACATAATGCCACCCCAGACGACAACTCCAGGACCACCGTAACGATCTCTTTCCGCGATGTTATTGGGATGAAATCGAGCTCCAACCTCTCTCCAGATCAACTGACGTTGAGAATCGCTTGTAGCACTAAAACGACTCTCATCTGTGAAGAGGACGCGACTCCATTGATGAGGTGTCCAGGTTTCGTGTTCTCTGCACCACTCTAAACGGTGCCGCCGATGGCTAACTTTTAAAGGTATGCAGCGTTCAGGACGTCTAGCAAATAAGCCACCTTTGTGGAGGCGTCTGGCCACTGTAAATCTTGATACTTGTCGTCCTGTGGCTGTGCACAGTTGCTGAGATATGGCGCTCGCTGACTGAAAACGGTTTCTTTTCGCCTGGAGGACAATGTAACGGTCATCTCTTGGTGTTGTTTTCCTTGGACGGCCACCACCAACCTTCCGAACAGCTGTACCAGTAGTTTTAAAGGCATTCCAAGCACGAGAAACAACACTTTTGTTGATCCCGAACTCTTCGGCGACACTGGTCACACTACGCCCCTCCTCAAGCTTCCCAATCATTCTTCCTCGAGTAAAGTCGTCTAAATGATTTCTTGAAGACATGTTTCACAAAACAAATCACTTGCACTTGCAGCGAATGTCTTTAACTACGGTGCTCTTCATCCTTTTATCACAGCTTTGACCTGCGCGTGCCGACCCACAAGGTTTACGTACACTTACATCACCTACGACGTTTTATTTCTAAAATTTGCATACAAATAATCTTTTTACTGAATTACGTGCATATTATACTACAATTTCATGGCTATCTTATACTTTGTTGGGGAGCTGTGGCCGAAAAACCACTTGTTGCTTAAGTTTTGCTCACCAGTGTATATAATCAATGTTAATTCAAAGTATAACTAAATAGTTTTATTTCGAACAAAGTAATGGTGAATTAAATAAATCAAACAATTATAACTCCGCCCACAAATAAACTGCTAAAGAATTACTTTGATTACCAGTTTTATCTTTTTACCCTGGTTGATACAGTTTTATGCTGGCGCGTATTTGTGACAGTCGGCGCGAAAGGGTTAATGCTTGTTTTAAAAAGATTTTGGCGACCACAAAATACGTATAGTTAAAAGAAATACATGAAATGACGGAAAAGCAAATAGCATTGTCTTTAGGTGGAGGCGAAATTTTAAGAAGTTTTGCTAACTTAATTATCAATTAACTGCCACTTTAAATAATGTGGAGAGCTAGAACTTCCGACTTGGCAATTCTGAACTTTCCACAGAGGATGGCTTGCTGACAGATGCAATATACTGGCTCCATCACCAGGCAGAATTTCATTTGGCTCAATCCTCACTTTGTTTGTATTTTTAATTAGTTTTGGAGAGACGCATTGGCTCAGGGGATTGAGGAATCGCCTTTCAATGAGTTAATCCAGGTTAGAATCCCAGATATAGTTGATCGAAATTTTTAGAACTTCCGACTCGCACCGATCACAGTTTACACATGAACTATCCTCAGTGGCAGACGGATCATGGGTTTGAATTCTCCTGCAGTCGGGCTAACCGAGGGACGTTTTCCTCTCCTTGTGACGCAATCGCTAGTTAGTTTTATCAAAAAGTCCTCCATGAAGGCTGGTTTGTCCCAACACTTAATCCAGAGCCGTGGTGGCCCAGAGGATAGAGCGTTCACCAGCCAATGAGGTGAACCGGGTTCGAATCCCAGTCGATACGAATTCCGCATCCGGCTTGCACCGACCACAGTGCTGACGTGAAATATCCTCAGTGGTAGACGGATCATGGGTCGGAGTCCCCTTGCCGTTAGGCTAACCGTGGGAGGTTCTCGTAGTCTTCTTCTCTATGTAAAGCAAATGCGGGTTAGCTCCATCTAAAAAGTCCTCCACGAAGGCAAATTTCTCCCAACACTCGATCCACGAGTTCCCTTGTCTTCTGGATTGGGTTCAAAATTACAAGGCTACGGAGTTGAACATTAGTCATAAACTCAGAAAATTGGGTCGGCTATTCAACGACGGTAATAAAAAAAAATACTTAATCCAGAGCCGTGTTAGCTCAGAAGACAGAGGTTCAGCTTCAAATGAGGTAAATCGGGTTCGAATCCCAGCGATGGTTGGTCAATACGAATTCCGCACCCGGCTCGCATCGACCGCAATGCTGACGTAAAATATCCTCAAGGGTAGACAGATCATGGGTTAGACTCCTTGCCGTCAGTCTAACCGTGAGAGGTTTTCCTCTCCATGTAACGCAAATGTGGGTCAGTTTAATCAAAAATTCCTCTACGAAGACATATTTCTCCCAATACTTGATCCACGAGTCCTCTGGTCTTCTGTGGGTTCAAAATTGCAAGGCTTCGGAGTTGAACATTAGTAGTCATAAACCCAAAATTCGGGTGGGCTGTTCAACGACGATTGTAAAATGAAATAAAAATGCTTGATCTAGGAGTTCCCTTGTCTTCTGTATTGTGTTCAAAGTTACAAGACTACGGATTGATGGTCATACTCTCAAAATTGTGTTGACTGTTCAAAGCTAGTTATAAAACTAATTAATTTATAATTAGTTTTGGAGTAATTAAATAATTTACATTTAGGGTTTTCGTATTTTCATAGCTTTCAAAATTCTTTTAATTTCTTGAATATAATTTTTTATCATCCTTAATCCAATTATAATTAAATAAAACCAATTATTTGATTTAATCACTTTTATAAAAGAGAAGATAAATACTTTTATTCTTTTCTTAATAATCAATGTAAAGGCTAACTTTTTAATTCAATACAAATGTATAACTCACTAATTCATTGTCGCGACTAAATCGAATATCAAAACTTATTTTTAATTTTAAGCTGCTTTATTTCTCCAACCACAAATCTGTTTCGGTTACTGCAGGGTTATAGTCATTTCTCACGGTGTTTTGGATGTTGAAACTGTGGCAAGCTTATTTAAAATTTAATATTAATGAAGTGGGGTTAACTTTTTTTTGGCTATATTATTTATCGATAACTCGCCAACTTTGGATCTCTTCTCATGCTCCTAAGTGTTAGTTGGTGCATTCACTGTTAATTTAAAATTCATTCATTGGTAATTTAAAATTCTTGGCGTTGGGACTGGGGTATTCGATGCCAGATAGCCCCTTAGTTAGACCATTAATAGGCTACGACTAATTATCTAAACTCATTTTATTCTGGGCAAAAACTAAAAAAATAAATAAATAAATCGAAATGATGTTTTTTTTTTCAGACTTGTATTTCCATTTTTGAATTCTAAACTTATATAAATATAGTTTTCCAAAATATGTATTTTATTTTAAATTTAAGATTCGTGAAATGAGGAAGCAAAGAAATCTCAGAACTAAGTAAGTTGTTCCGAGGGTTGGCGACGGTCTCAGCCCGACGCGAGCTTGTTTTCGGGTTCGGACTCATGATGAAGTTTTCATAAACCATTTTACAAATTTCAACAAAACTTTTTTACTACTTTAATAAGGCATTCTTACACAATGCAGTAAATTGAAGCAGATGCTACTTTGTTTAAATATCTGATTAATTTTGAAATAATTAAACTGCTTTTCCTTACGAACGAATACCAACTCCATTCAATACTTTAATTATTTTTCGCTCTATCAGTAACCCATTCTTAATACGATTTGGACAGGTAAAAGGAGTGAGCCGAACGATCAGAAAAAAGTACCAATTGATTACCTCTAGCGAGCAGGGGAGGAAGCTCCATAGTTATTTAAATTAAAGTTATTTTTTAATGTCTTACTTTATATAGATGGTCAACACTATTGGATATAGATAACTATACAAATTCTCTCAAATTTTTCTCTTTTAAAAATGACAAAATGTCGCAGACAGAGATTTTATAAACACGGCTCTTCAAATGTTGGTAGTGGAATAATGTTCTTATCACTGTTTAACATTTGAGATTATGAAAGCCGAATTTAACTCTATCATCATGGTGGACGAAATAACTCGTCTTCTGCACTAGGTTTTTATATATTATTGCAACGTATCGGGAGATTTATTCATCAAAAAAAATTTTACTTATTTATTTTATTACTATTTTTATGTCAACATATAAGCCATTATCGTGAGTATTGTCATTGATTGAAAATGATTACTATTTTTAAAGAAAAATAAACAAGTTTTAAAAGAATTTGCGCTTTTGTTTCAATTTTAATGCAACGAAGAACAGATGGTATGACAATGAAGGCCATTGGCGTGATGACAGTTTTAAATTACCATCGTTAAATCTTCTATCAAATGTTCCAACAGCGAACAACGTATAAACTTAATTCTTTAAAATTGAACTTAAAACCTTCATACACACAGCTAATCAAGTGTTGGTATTGAAAAAATGTTGCTACATCTGTTTCACACTTGGTATCATGATCGAAACCTTTTATTTGCAATTACCACCGGAAGATAAATTGTTAAAATTTCCAATATGGAACTTGATGTAAAATATGTCTCACCTCTTATGCCCTTTGTCATGTTGAGTATTTCCTACTGTGATTCTAACCTCGTAGTATACACCACATGGTTGTCCTTGTTCTTCAGCTCCAGGTTGTAACATTACAGAATGAGGAGCGTTCTCGGGCAGCTAAAATAAATGAAAATATAAAACTATTAGGGAAATAAAAATTACGACTAACAAGGGAAACTAGGGAAGTGTGACTCGCCAATTTTGAAATAAACTAGTGGGATGTATGCCTTATGAGGAATAATTTTAGGGGGCAACATTCGTTTCGGCCCATAGAAGGTCCTGTGAGAGATA